TAGTTAACTCTGGAAGAGATTACCAAAAGAATAAAAAAAGACTAATTCAGTTGGAAAAAAAAGAAAAAGAGGTCTGTTGCATGTGTGCTTGTCTCCTCTCGTCTACCCTTAGCTGAAAGTACCCTAACTTCTTGTGGTGTAATCTGCCAATAGGACATTGCAATTTTTTATTTTTATTTTTTTATTATGGTAAGATTTACATACAGTTAAAAACACAGCTCTCAAGTCCAATCCAATGTGTTTTGAAAAATATATACATTGTGTAATCAACACCCCTGTGAAATCTTATAAGCCTTGAAACCAGGTAATGTAGGATCTCCAAATTTGTTCTTTTTGAGATTGTTTAGGCTTTTCAAGGCCCTTTGTATCTGTATATGAATGCTAGAATCAGCTTGTTAACTTCAGTGAAATTGCTGGTTGGAATTTTTACTGGAATGGCACTGACTGTATACAAAACTTGGGGAGAATTGACACTTCAACAATATTGCCTTCCAATCCATGAGCATCTCATACCTTATGATTTTAAAAATATTTTATTTAATCTCTATAGATATTATTTTATATTCTTAATTTACAGCTTTGACACATCTTTTGCTAATTTTATTCCCAAATATTTTTTATCTACCGATGTTATTGTAAATGGTATTTTAACATTTCTTTATCCAAATTTTGCCTACTGATATTTGTATGGTGACTTTGTATCCTGTGACCTTACTTTATTCACTTCTAAATTTTAATATTTTTTAAAATGTTTGTAGATTCTGTAAGTTTTCTACATAAACTATCATAATATCTATGAATAAGCAGAATTTCTAATTTTTTAATCCTTATGCTTTTTATTTATTTTTCAAGCCTTATTTTACTGGCTAGCTCCTTTAGTACAACAATGAATAGAAGTGGTTAAAAAAACATTTCCACTCTTTTCCAGAAATAAAGGGGAAAGAATTCAGTATTTTACCATCAAGTATGTTGTTAATCATAGGGCTTTTTGTAGATGCCCTTTGTCAGATTGAGAAGTTTCCATCTATTTCTACTTTGCTCAAAGTTTTAAATCATAAAAGGGTGTTGAGTTTTGCCAAATGACTTTTTAAAATTAAGATGATCATATATTGATTTAATACATAGTTTTTCCTCCCATGTTTTGTTAATATGGTGACTTTGGTTTTGGATATTGAAACAACCTTGTATTCCTAGTATAAACCCCACTTAGTCATAATTTGGAATTCTTATATGTTGCTGGGTTTAATTTGCTAACGTTTTGTGATAAATCATTGTGTTTGTGTTTGGGAGGGATATTTGGCTATAATCTTCTTTAATAGAAATGTCTCAAGTTTTGATATCAGAATTTTGCTGTCTTCATAAAGCAAGATGTGAAATGGTCCTTCATTTTTGGAAGTAGTTTGTGAATGATTGCATCATTTCTTCTTTAAGTCTGCCATAGGATTACTAGTAAAGCCATTTGGATTTTCTTTGTGGTTATAAACTTTACTTTGTAATAAACTCGATATGGGCTATTTTCCTTTTCTATATCTTTTTGTCAGTTTTATAAAATTGTTTTTTCAAGGGATTTGTTAATTTCATCTAAGTTGTTAAATTTATTGGTGTAAAGTTGTTACAATATTCCTTACTATCCTTTTTTATGTCTGTAGGATCTGTAGTGCTGCTAATTAGTGTATTCTCTCTTTTTTCCTGATTAGTCTTGTTCAGGTTTTCTCAATTTTATCAATCTTTCAAACAACTATCTTTTGCTCTATATTTCTTCTGCTTATTTTGGGTTTAAATTTCTTAGCCTCCTATGGTGAAAACTTAGATCACGTATTTTCAAAGTCATATATTTCTCTCCTAGCACCGTTTTAGAGATATCACACTAATTTTAATATGTTGTGTTTTTGTTCTCACTCAGTTCAGAGCATTTTCTAATTTCCCCTATAAGTTATATTTTCATTCATGAATTATTTAGACACATGTTGTTTAATTTCCAAATATTTGAGCATTTCTATATATCTTATTGTTATTATTTTATTATTTAGTCTTTTGTTGTCAGAAAACATATGTGTAAGTTTCAATCTTCAGAAACATATTGGAACTTACTTTATGGTCCAACATATGGTCTATATGCATTATATGCATATATATATATGCTATACCATGTATACCTGAAAATATGTGTATTCTATAGTTTGGGGGTAATATTGTTCTAAAAATTTGAATTAGACCAAGACAGTTTATAGGGCTGTACAAATCTTTGTATTTTCTTACTGATTTTTTCTCTAGTTATTCTAACAATTTCTGAGTGAAGTATTTTAAAATATCCAACTATAACTGCGTATTTTTCCATTTTTCCCTTTATTCCTATTATTTCCTGATTTGTGTATTTTGAAGCTCTATTATTACAAGTACAGACAGTGAGAATTGTCTGTGATTCAGAAGAACTGATCTCTTTTACTATTTCCTGCTTTGTGTATTTTGAAGCTCTATTATTACAAGTACAGACAGTGAGAATTGTCTGTGATTCAGAAGAACTGATCTCTTTTATCATTGTGATATAGTTCTCTTTGTTTCTGGTAAGATTTCTTGTCAAGATGTCTATTTTGTCTGATATCATTATGGCCACATAAGGTTTCTTATGATTGCTGTTTGTGTGATTTATCTTGTTCTATTCTTTTACTTTTAACTTATCAGAGTCTTTGTATTTACAGTGCACCTCTTGTAGATAGTGTATTTACAGTGCATTTTTTTGTAGATAGCATATAATCGAGTCTTTTTTTTTTTAACCCAATATGAAAATATCTACCCTTACTTGGAGTATATAGCCCATTTGATTTTAATGTAATTATTGATAATCTTAGACTTCATCTACCATCTTGCCATTTATTTTCCACTTGCCTCATCTTTCTTTTTTCTTTCTCAGTTTTNTTGTTTTTTCAAGGGATTTGTTAATTTCATCTAAGTTGTTAAATTTATTGGTGTAAAGTTGTTACAATATTCCTTACTATCCTTTTTTATGTCTGTAGGATCTGTAGTGCTGCTAATTAGTGTATTCTCTCTTTTTTCCTGATTAGTCTTGTTCAGGTTTTCTCAATTTTATCAATCTTTCAAACAACTATCTTTTGCTCTATATTTCTTCTGCTTATTTTGGGTTTAAATTTCTTAGCCTCCTATGGTGAAAACTTAGATCACGTATTTTCAAAGTCATATATTTCTCTCCTAGCACCGTTTTAGAGATATCACACTAATTTTAATATGTTGTGTTTTTGTTCTCACTCAGTTCAGAGCATTTTCTAATTTCCCCTATAAGTTATATTTTCATTCATGAATTATTTAGACACATGTTGTTTAATTTCCAAATATTTGAGCATTTCTATATATCTTATTGTTATTATTTTATTATTTAGTCTTTTGTTGTCAGAAAACATATGTGTAAGTTTCAATCTTCAGAAACATATTGGAACTTACTTTATGGTCCAACATATGGTCTATATGCATTATATGCATATATATATATGCTATACCATGTATACCTGAAAATATGTGTATTCTATAGTTTGGGGGTAATATTGTTCTAAAATTTTGAATTAGACCAAGACAGTTTATAGGGTTGTACAAATCTTTGTATTTTCTTACTGATTTTTTCTCTAGTTATTCTAACAATTTCTGAGTGAAGTATTTTAAAATATCCAACTATAACTGCGTATTTTTCCATTTTTCCCTTTATTCCTATTATTTCCTACTTTGTGTATTTTGAAGCTCTATTATTACAAGTACAGACAGTGAGAATTGTCTGTAGTTCAGAAGAACTGATCTTTTTTATCATTGTGATATAGTTCTTTTTGTTTCTGGTAAGATTTCTTGTCAAGATGTCTATTTTGTCTGATATCATTATGGCCACATAAGGTTTCTTATGATTGCTGTTTGTGTGATTTATCTTGTTCTATTCTTTTACTTTTAACCTATCAGAGTCTTTGTATTTACAGTGCA